CCTCGGCGAGCACCACTTGGGGGCGCTCTTCGGCCTCCTCGCCGTCAATGACCGGTGAGCTCCGGCGCGGTGCCGCGGGCCTGAGCGGCCCCGCTGCTGTTTCCCGAGCGGGGGGCTCCTGCCGCCTTCCCGGCTCATTCCCTGCCCTCTTGCGGGGCGGGAGGTGGCACAGCGGGTTCCCTTTCCTCAAGGGCTCGGTTTTCTCTCCATCCCGCCCAGCGAACAGGTGTCGGCGTGTGTTTCCATCCTGGAGAGGCTCCTGCAGGCCCTGGACCCCCTTTACGTGATCCAGAACCTCAGGGAAGAGCTGCAGAAGGGCCTTTTCCACCCCGACGACTCCGTGAAGATCCTCACCATGTCCCAGGTACAGTTTCCTCCAGGAGGAGGGGACAGAGCTCTGTGCTGAACTCTGGCTTAGTCCCCATCTGCTCCTTCCTGCCTCAGTTTGTGATAAAAGCAGGAATTGTGTCCTTCTTCGCTCGTGCCATTTGGGATAATTACTGTGCAGTGTGCATATAATGCTTTATGATATGTCAATAGTAATATCCAAAACTATGTCCTGACAAAAGCAGCTTGTGAATAAAATTTCTGCCACGTGTCTCAGTTCATGCTTTCTGTGCCAGCACTGACAGCAGGCGATGTAAGAATTAAAAGCAGCAACATTTTGATATTCAGGATACTTTAAACTATTGTGGAAACACCAAGCAGGCTGTGGGGAAAAAAAAAAATTGTTCTAAAGTTATTTTCTGTAACTCTTTGCTCAGGTTGGGAGGATTGTTGAAGACTCAGCTGCTGTCACAGAAATTCTCCACAGCCCCGAGCTGTTACGGCAAATCATAAACTGCATTGGTGGGGAGAAAATAGCAGTGGCCAAAGAGGTAAACATGGCTTTATTGTCCCATTCCTCTGCAAGCTGAGGTGGCTGGATGACAATAATGAGTGAAATAATCAGTGAAAACTGAATTATAATTAAAATTAAGTGTATAGCTATAATTAATAAGTTAATCAAGAACATTGCAGCTAAACCTGGTAATCTTAGATTTTCTTCTCTGCATGGTTTTGTTTCTTTTTAGTAATAAGCTCTTGTTTTTGCTTGCAGGCCATTAAATCTCTGTCAAGAATAGCCCAGAGCAAGGAGGGTTTGGAGGCTCTGTTTGGGAGCAGTTTGTTGAGTGACCTGAGGAATGTCATGGCCACGAGTGACGTTGTTCGGTACAGGGTCTATGAGGTGGGGACGTTCTCTGGTGCTCCTGACTCTCAGCCTGGGGTTTATGGCTTTTAAATTACTGTTTCTCACTGTTTTACACACTTCCCTTCACATCTGTGTTTTATCAAAACTAGAAAGGAGTAGGAAGATTACAGCAGTGTGAGCTTTCATGATGTCATAACTTCTCTTTCCCATTTTTTGGTATAAAAGTGTGGATTACTGTTTATTTTCTAACTTGTAGTGCCTAAGGTGTTGGAAGGGCTACACAGAATTACTAAAAACACCAGAAAATGTTTGTTTCTCTGAAAATAAAAGTAAAATAGTTAACTGTAGCCTCTTAACTTCTGGATGTGAAGTACTGCTGAAGGTTTTGGAGAGATGCCAACTGCCAGTCTAGAGATGTTTGGCAAAGGAGAAATAACACAATTTAGCCATTCTAGAGCTTAATGGGGATAGCACAGGAAGAGCTGATTGTGAGTAGAGATCAAAATCATGTGCTGTAAACTTGGAACTCCTTATGAAGTTGCTTCAGGCAAACACTTGGGTTAATGATAAAAATGTGATTAATTCCATATTTAATATATGTAGGGCTAATTAGCACCATAAGATGTATTTGGCTGTTGCTGTGAATTATTAGAATGTTTTTATAAACTGTCCTTTTTATTTTTCTTTAGTTAATTGTGGAGATTTCATCAGTGTCAGCAGAGTCTCTGAATTACTGTGCAAGCAGTGGGTTAATCCCTGAGTTAATTGGGGAGCTGACTGGAGAGGATGTGCTGGTCAGGTACGTTGGTGAGTTTGCCAAGGAGATTTCCACCATTGTTCAAACTCTGATAAATGTGTTTGTGTGTGTTTCTTGTAAAACTCTTTTCAGAAAAACACTTCATCTGCCTCTTCTTAAACTGTCCTGAGTGTCAAATGCTTTATACCTTAATCTGAGGACCAAGCTGGAGTAATAATTACCACATTTGGCTGCAATAGAAACACTTTAAATTCTTTTACAAATCTGAGGAGCTGAATGAGCTCAGAGAAGCTTGAACAATTGGGGCCATTTGGCTTTTTTTTGCTAGGATTTCATCTTACGGATGTGATTTCTTTTTCTTAATCACTGAGTGCTTCAAGCCCCACCTCTAAACTGAAATAACCATGTGTGTTGCAGAGCCACGTGCATAGAGATGGTGACCTCGCTGGCCCACACCCCCCACGGGCGGCAGTACCTGGCTCAGCAAGGAGTCATCGACAAAATCTCCAACATCATCCTGGGGGCAGACTCAGATCCCTTCTCCAGCTTCTATCTGCCAGGTGACACCATGCATTCCTTCTTTCCAGGCTTTGCTGCTTGCTTTGGTGATGAGTTCAATTGGCAGCACTGTTAAGCCTCTCTGTTGAAAGCTCAGGGGGAAATTTTGAATATTAGATCGGATGTGTAAAATATTGGATATTTCAAAAATGCTGAAGGACAGTCTGACACACAAAGGATGTTCCTCAGTAAGAGTGGTAAGATCTGGACAGGCTGTGCTGTAGCTTTAAAGTTTGTGTTATTGTAGCCTTTTTTAGGAATACAAACATCATGAATTAAGCAACAGTCAAAATATTTGGCTTGTTGCTTAGTTCTGTCTTATTTTGAGCTTTTTACCAACACTATTCAGACTTAATAACACATGTTTAGGAACAAATCAGTCTCACATAAATGTCCATTTAATTTTGCCATTGCTGAAGTTACTGTTCTTCCACTCAAAGCTTTTTTTGGTCTTGTTTTCTCAGGATTTGTTAAATTTTTTGGCAATCTGGCTGTTGTGGACAGTCCCCAGCAGATCTGTGAGCGCTACCCTGTCTTTATGGAAAAAGTCTTTGAAATGGCAGAAAGTCAGGATCCCACCATGATTGGAGTGGCTGTGGACACACTGGGAATCCTGGGATCAAATATGGAAGGCAAACAGGTTTTACAGAAAGCTAGTTAGTATTTTTCTTTTCTTTTTTTCTTTACTAAAACGTTTTCATTATAATATAAGAGTGAATTGGTTTGGGGTGATACAGAAAGGAATTGAAAAATGTATTCACTTATCTAATGAATACATTTATAATGTAGCTGATGGTAACTGTATTCCTGTAGAGATCTGGCTGAGTTAATTAAAAGCACTTTGTTTTTGTTTTGAAAGGAAGTAGATTTCAAAATCTCTTAAGCAAAATAGGGCACCAGGCCAAGAATGCCCCCACTGAGTTACGGCTTCGGTGCTTGGATGCGATTTCATCTCTGCTTTACTTGCCTGTAAGTTGGAGTTTTTGTCTTTGTTTTTTCTTTAAATCTCCAAGAGTGAAATCATCACACACCTGAGGAATTGTGAGGACACATTTTACAGCCTCTAGGCTGGGTAGCAGTGGTGCTTTCAGGGTTCTGAGTCATTGATTTACTGTTTTGAAATTCCATGATTGATTTGCTTAAAGGTTTGGGTTTGTTTGTAAGGAGCCAGGTGTTCTGAAATGTTAATAAAAGATGAAGTCAAGGCTTCATTGATGAGGGAATGAGAGTAAACAGGTTCATGTCCTTGTGCTCACCAGGATGGGGGCAAACTGCTCCAGTCCCTGTGGTCTTTGGGATCTGGGTTACCAGTGGAGCTCTGAATGGGTGATTAAACCATTTGAGCACATCCTGGAACCTGAAAGCTTTTCACAATCCTGATCAAACTCTTTCATTTTTGTAATTTACGTAGCCAGACCAGCAGACAGAAGACCTTTTGAGAATGACTGAATCCTGGTTCACATCCCTGTCCAGCCAGCCCCTGGAGCTGTTCAGGAGCATCAGTACTCAGCCATTCCCTGATCTCCACTGCGGGGCTTTGCGGGTGTTTACTGTGAGTGCTTTTGGTTTTCAACATCAGGGAGTGACTTGTGTTGCCATTCAGTCTCAGATTTATTTATTTCTTTGAAGGGAATACCATAAATTTTTTGTTAAAGCCCAGAAGTGGTAAGAAAAAGGCCTTTTTCCTCATGCCCCACTTGGCTTCCCCATGTAAATAATGCAGCAGACACATCTTGTCTGTAATGCTAATTTTCTCATAAATTGGAGAGGGGAAAAAAGGCAAGAGCTGTGCTCTAAGCTCTGCTTCTATACCAGAGGCACTGCTGTGATAATTCCCTCAAAACTTTGAGGATAAGCATTGAGCTCTACTTGTTCTCCAGTGCTAAACCCTGCTGCCTGATTTGAGTGGTGGTTTTGTATCTGATTTAATTTTTCCTGTTCCTTGTCCACGTACCAAAAACCCTACTGTGTAACTGCTTTTCTGGAGTTTTATAATGTTTTCCCTCTCTCTCACATCTTTTGTCTTCCTGTTCAGGCCATTGCAAATCAACCATGGGCCCAGAAGCTGATGGTGAACAGCCCAGGGTTTGTGGAGTACGTTGTGGACAGATCTGTGGAGCCTGACAAAGCTTCAAAGGATGCTAAATACGAACTGGTGAAGGCCCTGGTGAACTCCAAAACCATTGCGGAGATCTTTGGCAATCAGTACTACCTGAGGCTCAGGGCTTACCTGCATGAGGGCCCCTATTATGTTAAAGCAGTTTCTACTACAGCTGTGGAAGGAGCAGAATAATGTCCTTGGTGTCTGGAGTCCCCTTCCTGCAGAACACAGTCCTTTCACAGGTGTTGAGGTACAAAGGTGTAAAAACTCTCCACACTGGAGGTTGTCTCTTTAAAGGAACGTGAAGATATTTTGGCTCTATTTGAAATGAGTCAGCAGAGCAAATTAAAGGCTGTTTGATATTTCCCCCTAAAATGTCATGGCAGAAGTTCCCTGTATGCTTCATGGTACAGGTAACCCAGGTGAGCACTTAGCAGCTGCTGATTGTGTTTTATTTGGCAGGATTTATAAGTGTTTGTTTGAATTGTTCTTTGGTTTGGAATTTCTGTTGTGTTTTCTCAGTAGGTTACAGTTCAGTTAAAAAAAACACCAAAACACCTCAAGTTTTGTAACCTCAGATGCTGCCATAATTTCTATTATTTTTTAATTCATTTTTTTACCTGCCAAAGTTGGCACTTGCATGGAACAGTGTTCTGTCGGAATCCTGTTGCTGAATAAGCCAGTGACTGTCCACGAGGGAGTATGGATTGGATTCTCTTGTGTTCAGCCTGCTGGATGTGAATCTTGCTGGAATAAATAATCCTAAATATTGTTTACATTTTCTGCTGAGGATTAAAAAAAAAGAAGTTTTTACCCTTTTAAAAACAAATCAATGCACTCTGTAGGGATCAAAGCCACCTGGGAGCTTTGTCTCCCTTCTTGGCTGTGCTGTGGGGTGGCAGCTCAGTTTAGTGGCTGGAGCACTACAAGGCTACTTCAGAACCAAATCTTGAATTGTTTACACTATTTTTTAACAGAAATACTTTTTTTTTAAAGTATTATTTAAAGAAATGTGGTATTTTAGTTACCTGAGTTAGACTAAAAGGGGTAAGAACATGGAGCTCTTTTGTTGAAGGGAGTGAATGTACTGGGAGTATGGAAATGTGGCGTCTTAGGAAGTTGGAATCTTCTTTTGAAGCTATCAGGAGTGGCTGGGCACTCCAGTGACATGGGACATGCCTTTGCCCATAAACAGAGACCACAGGGGACTTTCTATCAAAGCCTTGTATTCTTTTTGTTAAGGGGGAGCAAAATAAAACATTTAATTACTGCTTTGGGGCTCATTTTAGTAACGTGTCAGCCAGGTGTAACTGTGGGAAGCACTGACCCCATGTCCCTGTGCTGCCAGGGGAAGCAGGAGGATCCTGTCCTGCAGGAACTCTGGTTTTACCTGTGGTAGCTGGAGGTGCAGCTGGCATTGCTGCCAAAAATTGCCGCCCAGGAGTCCAGGTGGGCTCAGAGGAGCTGGGGGAGATCCCTTAATGTTTGCTAAGCTGTCTAAATGCAGGTGAAGTGCCTTGTTTCTCACCACCCAAGATGTCTCCAAGTTGTCATCCTACATCCCAGTGCTGCTGCTTTTATCCTAAATGTGCCCAATAAACATCTGCCAGTGAGAAATGTGTCTTGTGACTGGAGAGAGCACGGGGGCTTCATGAATCCTGCATCCAGCAAACACATCAGAGGAAATCAAAAGTGTAGAAGTCCTTAGCTTGCACTTGTTCTGGGCAGTTCAGCTCTGTTATTTTAGGTGGCTTTGTGTGCTGGTGGCTCTGTATGAGCCATATGCTGAAATGTCAGTAAAATAAATCAATATATAAACCTGCTCTGCAATTCATGAGCCTCTTCCATGTGTGTTTTCAGCTGGTGCTTTTGAAAGCTACTCTGTGTGCTGAGTATTTAGCATCTGCTTTGCATGGCACACTTGCCAAAGACAATATTTTAGAATGTGCAGAGATGCCAAACAAGGGGATTTTTTTATGTATACACATATGCTTTATTTTGTTGAGCTTTGAGCTCAGTGTTGATTGATTAATTGATCACTTTCCCCTTATTACTCAGATGCAGTTCCCTGCCCATGCTGTACATTGCCATATGGATTACATGCTGCTGCTGCTGTATCTGATATAAATGACAAAATTGGAGTGTGTTGTTTTTGTCATCCCCCTTTAAAGTAACAGGTGGAGATGACTGAGTTAAAAACACGAAGTGGAATGCTGGAGAGTTGAGGTAACATGCTGAACATTTGGTTTAGAAACCAAAAAACCCCAAACCAAACCTTGTCATTTGATGGATGTTAACAAGCAGCATTACTTGAGGAATTTCCACGATGGCTCAGTGTCTGTTCCTGCTGGAGCTGCTCTGTTTCTCTCAGCCTGCCCAGAAGCAGCTCCTTTTGTGGATGGAAAGCTTCCCCTTTGTTACAGAATTCTTTGGAGGCAGGTGATGCCTCACTCACATAAAACAGTTTTGAAGACTCAAAAGTCTGAAAAACCCTGGATATAGACAAAGTCTGTTGGAATACTGTTTTTTACTTCCATGCATGCACTTGTAGGTACTTACAGAGGCAGAGTACATCCAGTTCTGCTCTGTCACTCTGTAACAGTGAGAATTCATCTGCTGCTGAAGGGAAAAGAGCAAACTTTGGGAGGGGATCCTCAGTACTGAATGTTAACTGGATAACACAGCTGATGAAAGAAAATTCAGCCTCTTTTTGCAGAAGTTAAACATTAATTGACAAAATGAAGGAGCTCATTTTTTATCCTATCCAAGTTGAACTGTTTGAACTTATCAATGTAGGTCAGAACCTTGCAGGACACCAGGCTGTAGTAGGTTTCCAGTAAGGAACAATCTTCCCCATTGCTTGTTTCCTTCCAGTCTTGAAATAGCTCGTCCTCTCTCATGTCAGAGGAGGTGAAAATGAATTTATAGCAGCATCGATTGTAGCTGATGTGCTTCTCCCCAGCAAAGCGGGAGCTGTGCCTGGCAGTGATGCCAGCTCTTTGAGCACAGATCCCTACAAAAGCAGCTGGGGGCACTGCCAGGGGCACCTCCCTGGCAGCCACATAAACCTTGCGAGCCACGTCCTGGGACATGAGGAAAGCGCTGCCGTGGCAGAAATCCGGGTAGAACTCCTCGGGGTATTGATGGATGGGGACAAAGCCAGGGCTCTGGGGGTCCCTGTCGGGCACTCCGTGATGAACCACCCTCCCAAGGTAGATGTCCTCCAGCTGGGTTAAGCTCAGCAGGTACCCAGCCAGGCTGGCAACACCCACAAATACATCCTGGGCTGTGTGAAGGATGTACCTGGCACGGGGACAGAAAGTCACCGTCCACTCCACGCTCATCAGCATCTTCTGTGTCTGCGTCTGGGGGGAATCGATGAAACTGCCTTCAATAATGTCTCGGTGCTTTTCAGCCTCTTCATTGATCTCCAGCTGGGTGCTTGCTGCAGCTGCCTTTCCTACAGCAAACAGAGTCAGGACGCTGTAACCCCTGGAGCCTGTCGCGTTGCCCCAGGTCTGCCTGATCACGTTGCGCCTTGTCCTGTTTTCTGGGCTGCTGCAGACAACAATGAGCAGAAATACCTCTTGATTGGAGCAAGTCACTGCACTGCTGCTGGTGTGAGAGAGGTTGGCCTTCAGAGCATCCAGATCCAGCTTCCTGGCCCTCTCCCTGATCTCCAGAGCCTTGGCATCGGTGTATGACAGAGGCAGGGAATGCAGGAAGTACTGCTCCAGTAAATCTGCCCCAAAAAGCAGCATGTGGAAAAGCAAGACGTTGAAGAGGATGAAGCACCACTGGTGTGTGCGGAGCCTGCAGAGGGTCAGCTGGGGAACAGGAACATGGACACTGAATTCTCTTGCCTCTCAAACCAAAAGGCTTTCCCTCATTTTACAATATATCCATGCAAAGCAATCACAACTTTTTAAATCTTTCTGGTCTTTGTATTATGAGTGTGAGGCTTTTTTTTCCCTAGAAACTTAAGGAATCTACTTGTGGCACAGTGACACCCCAAACTGAGAAGGACAGTACCATATTGAAAGCTTTCTGTGCATCCACGTGTGGAAAATACTGAAGAATGACTTGCTATGAGTAATTTTTCATAATTTTTATCTTGTTACTGAAGGCCTTAATATGTCCTTGAAGAACTTTGGGTACTTGGCCTGACACTGCCCTATGAAAGCTGTCAGGGTTAGAATCCAGAGGGAAAGGCTGGGTTGGATGGGAGCAACATGGGGAAGTGGAAGGTGTCCCTGCCCATGGCAGGGCATGGGGTGGGATGGTCTTTAAGGTCCCTTCCAACCCCAAGCCTGTGAAAGCTGTAAGAGGCTGCAGCACTTACCTGCATGGTGCTGGGAGCTGTCCCTGCAGCAGGGGCTCTCTGGGCAGTTTCTCCTGGCTGTGGCTGTATCTGGGTCTGCAGGATCCAGTTACTGCCCGGTGCCTGCAGCCTCTGGCTCCCACCTCACCTGCCTGGGCACAGGAAAGATGATCCCCGGGGCTGATCGTGTTGCAGCCACATAAAACACAAAGCAAACAAAACCCTGGCCTTTCCCTTTATTAATTTCTGGCACTCTGAGAAATAAGTGAAGCAAATGCTGGGGCTCACTTGGTCACAGGAATCCCTGGTACTGTTGAGTCTGTCCTTGATCTGCTGCTTTGCTGCTGGCCCTGGGGGCTGTGTTTTCAGAGCTGTGCCATTGTGGTGTCGGTCCCTCAGTCTGGGGCAGTCGCTGAGCGCTCTGCATCTCCTCAGCTGGAGCTTTGGGGTGTGAACTCGTGGGTTTGCCGTGTGTGGGGTGCTGGAGGACACCCCAAGTGGGTGCTGCTGGGCCAGGCTGGCTCCAGCACACGGGGCTGTGGCCTGGGCAGGCTCTGGCCTGGGCTGCTCCCCGTGTTGCTGTTGGCTCAGTCCCGGCTGTGCCGGAGCTGACGGGGCTGGGGAGCCACGGGGACCTGGAAGTGCTGCAGGGGGAAGTGCCAAAGACACCACAAACAGGATGGAGCTGTCAGCAGGGGGAGAGTTGGCTTTGGCAGTGGGGCTGGGGAGCACTGAGGGGAGAGGGGCTTGTGGGTCCCCAGCAGCCCCCTGGGAGGGCAGGGAAGGGTTGGGTGATGGCAGCGCTGCTGTCTGAGGGTGGGTTGAGGTGGGACGTGCTGGCTGTGTGAGAACTCCAGCCTCCCTGGGAGAGCAGGGAGATCAGGATTTCTTTTTCATTTTAAGATTTCTCAGAGGTCAGGGTGCGTTTCTGTTCTGCATCCTTGGGTGAGAGGAGAACACAGCACTGCTCTGGTTTGTCTTGGCTGGACCATTGCAAGGCTCCCTGCAGCATCCTTAGGGCAGCCTGGATTAGCCCAATGTCCCAGGGACATGGAGAAGAGCTTTGATTTCTGCCTTGAGGGGGCCAGGGTTAATCCCCAGCTCTGGCTGAGCTGCTCAGCTCTCCCAGCTGTGTTGATAGAGGGAACAGAGGAATTACAGAAGAAACCAGGTTCCCAAAATCTGCTCACAGCTTGGAAGTGCATCTCACCCCACTGAAAAACCCCAAAACATTCACAGTGTGCAAGTCCCAGTGTGGATTTCTGCTTCAGGCTCTCCAAAAATAGGGAAAGCTCCTTCCCCAGGGCTTGTGTGTCAGCTGGGCCACAGCCTCATCTGGCCCAGCCTCACACTCTGCAATCCTCACAGAAGTTCTTTGCTTTGAAGCTGGGTGAGCTGTCAGCATGGGAAGTGTCAGTTAAATGTGAGCCCTGAAATAAAAGGCTAATAAGGAAATATTTTTCATGTACAGTAATACAGCCCTGCAACTCCAGTTACCCATTCTGGGGGAAAAAAAATTCCTTCTTTGAAGATATTCTGTCTCCAGCTGAATCATTTAATCAGCAAATAAATGCCAGCATTTAAAACCTCTTACATTAAAATTTGAATATATTTATAATAATAAAATAATGATAATAATAAGCCCCACATGTGTATCATCCCTGGTGCAATTAGGCCCAGCGTGGTGCTGGCAGCACTGCTGAAACCATTCCTTTAGCACTGCTCTGTGGTGGCAGCAGCAACTTTGATACCAAATACATAAAATTAACACTCCCCAACCCCAGTCAGGGCACAGGCAGCTCTTGGATGTGGGTTTTTATTTATCCACAGAGCTTGGTGGAGTCCCACTGGGAGAAAGCTGAGGAATAGCAAGGCAAAGACTGCTGAAGGGGAAATAACTGAGTCCCTCAGCTCCAGGAAGTTTGCCTGGGGGTGATCCTTCCATCACCTTTAACCTCAGGTTTCAGGCAAACACAACACCCAGCAGCTCATGTGTGACCTCATCTCAAGTCTCAGAAGGGTGAAGTGAAGCTCCTTTGGGGAAATCTTCACTCCCAGGGAGATCCAAGAGTTCCCTGGAGAGGAGTGAATTCAGGACCCTGGAACGGTGAAGTCAGGTCAGTGGGGATGGAAATGCTGTTCCTACAGCTGCACTGAGACCCTGCACAATCCTGGGGGTGTAAATTAGGCACTCACCCAGGACAGAAGATTTTCCTGAGCCTCAGGGCTAGAATTTTCTTTCTGTGAGATGTTTTCACATTTTCATTAAATTCTATGTCCAAGCAAATCTCGCTACAGAAGCAGGGATGTAACTCTGTGAGTAACTTGAGCTGTCCTAAACCTGTGAGTGTTCAGACTGAAGGATGTTTGGGTTTGATTTCTTGGAGAGCACGTATTTTGTGATAGCCAAAGATCAAAGCAGAGCTGCCAGGAGAGTGGTGGGAGATGCTGTTGAGCAGGAGGAGCCCGGGGTGGGCAGTGGGTGCTGCAGGGGAGCAGCAGAACCTGCAGCTCCTTAAAAAAGTCTCCTAAAGTCTCCTGGCTTCCCTCCCAGTGCTGGGAACATTTGGAAGGGGGAGCAGAGCCTGGCTTCCCTCAGTTCTGCTCAACTTCACTTTGTGAAAATGCGAAGGCTTTGGATGACGCACCGTGCTCAGGCGATGGAGCAGGGGAGGGTGGATGGATGGGATTGATGGGGAAAATCCAGTCAAAATTTGGTTTCCCAATATAAATTTGTTCAAATGTGAAAGCTGGAGCTCAGCCTGCCCTAGAAGTCCTTCTCAGGAGGGTGGACAGCCCTCTCTGTGCCCACCGTGGTGCCCCTGCTCCTGGGCTCTTCCCAAAAGCCAGGTTCATTCCCACAGGCACATTTGCCAATTTTCACTTGCTGCCTTCTGCTCCAGGGACAGCTCAGAACCCTCTGTGGATCCCACCTGGCACAGCCTCCCTTTCCACGAGGCATTCCCTGTGCTCTCATGGATTCACCTGTCTGATTCTAGGGCTCAGAGGTGCCCCTTGTCACCCCAGCCAGGATGCTCTGGGAACACAAAGCACTCCCAGGTTTCCAACAAATTTTGGATGCTACACAAAGGATCCCCTTTATTCCAACCTGCCTTTTGCAATTTCAGCAGCACACACAGACCTGAGAGCACGAGTGGGACCTGTCTGGGTTTTAATAACAGCATCAGTTGCAATAAATAAAGATGGTTGTTTAGATCTTAGTCACCTAAAAGCAATGTTTGTGCTTGAAGACATGATTCAGCTCTTGCAGGCAGTTCTTCACCTCACATTCTCCATGGGGCTTGGGAAATTATGGAAGAGGCTTTGTAAGAGTTCTACAGTGCATGTTGCACTTGTTATTTGATATTCAGTGTCCCTTTGGGTATTAAATAAAAGTAGAAACCTGAAAACCATGCAGACAAAGCTGAGCACTGACAAGCAGACAAACATCTCTGTGGTTCCCAATGTGCAGATGAAGGTGTCTTTGCTCCTGATTTAATGGCTCAGTTGATGACACTAAAACCATGTTTTTATAGCCAGGTTTCCTGCATTCTTCTTTTTGTTTCTCAGGCATCAGTCTAGGAGTTACAGAGCTCTCTCCTTTTTTATGGTATGTTTGATTATTCCTCCTTGAGATTAATGACAGCTTTGACAATTCCCTACCTCTGTATTCCTGGATAACGACAGCCTCAGCCCCCTGTGTGTTCTGCAGTTCTGCATTCAGCCTTGGGATCTCTGAGTTAAACATGAGCTGAGTGGAAAGAGCCTAAACTTGTGTGAAATGCTGACTTGTGAGGCCACAGGGCCTAGTGGGTTCCCCAAGTGCTCTCCCTGCCAAGATGTCAACTTGACAGAAAAGTTGCTTATTTTGCAGTGGACCAGCCTTGTTGTTATTAATTCTTAGACTGTGCCATGTGAGTTGCTTTTTTGATGTTTTTTTTGGTGCTTTTTTCCTGGCCCTGTCATTCCCTGCAGGCTGTATTTGTGCCTGGCAAATGGAGATTCACATGAAATCCATTTGACACGCACAACATCCGCAGCCTTGGAGTCTCAGCTCGGGCTCTGCTTTGATTAAATTCAGTCCACGCTCTGACAACATTTCCAGCTGGGAGCAGATCTGGTGTCGCTGTTCCCGACTCCGTGGCTGCTCTGCCCTGCATGGGGCATTTCTCCTGGGAGAAATTTCAGCTGGAGGATCTCCTGGGCACCTCCTTGCCCTGGGGTGATGGGGTACCTGCGTGATGCACCCAAAAAGGCAAAGCTTGACCAAGGCTGTGGGGGAAACAGGAGCTGGATGCAGCTCGTGGGGCTTCAGTGATGCCCCAGCCCTTCCTCTCCCGGTGCTGGATGGATCCAGCTGTGCTCCCACCAGTGCCCCAGGGCTGGGGAGGGGCTGCAGCCCCCCAGCCACGGCCAAGGCTCCCTCTGGTGGGGCTGTCCCCATCCTGGCAGGGGTTATGGGGGGCTGGAGCAGGACAGGGACCCCTGTGACGCGGATCCCTGGAGCCCTGTGGATGGCTGGACTCGGATGATGTGCTCTGCAGA